GGATAGCTATCCTTCGAGTTTCCATTGTGTCACGCGAAATCGATTCGGTCGAGTCATCCATGATCATTTCTCGTGTCTATTTTTCCTCGTACAATTCAATGTATAGACTTTGTGCGTGTGTGTGCTCTGTCGTTTTGCTAAAACTAGTCATAGACACGAGTATCTTCAGGAGATATTCTGAAGGATGAAGGATATGCGATCAGATACCCGTTATTCGTCCAAGAGAACTGACCAAGCGTCGACATCCTTGCCCCGTTTCTTGGAGATCGATTTGTGAGTACAACGACCCCAAGAAAAGCGGAAACCAATGTGCTACATAATTGCCATGGTAATGTAGTTCATGCGATGAGATCGTTTACATTATTGAACTCGCCCACTCACACGGATTTCTCACCGATAGTTGTGAGTGTGGATTTTTATTGTTCCGATTGTTCCGATTGTTGTGATTTCCATTGCAACAATGAACGTTTAATTGCGAAGTTACACAATGTGAGCATATCATAGTATAGAATTTTTAATTTTAACAACATCAAATTCTGAATTATAACATGACGAATCAAAAGTGGGTTAATTGGATTCACACGTTAAAAAACCGTTGTTAATAAATAAAATTGATGGGGAGCTGAAAATAAATGAAATATTATCTATGCTTCAAGAATTGATTTACTATATATATTTATTATATTTATAAATATATAAATCTGTCAATTTATTTTAGTCGAAAACTATAAATGTACTGACAATTTCTTGTCATATCATTTTTGTAGAGAAATTTATAATTAACAAGAATTAAAACGTTTTAATGGAAAAGATATAAGTGGACAGTTTTTAATTGTTTTTTAGTCTTATTAAAAAGTTTAATATGTTTAAAATTTTTTAATAATAGATAAAATTTAAAATGGAACAGAACAACATCAAAAACTAATTCAAAAATAGCAATATGAAACTACGTTCGCGAACATATGCAACATCTGCTTTTGCGACGAATGGCGATATGTACTCGCTTATTTCTAGGATTTCCGATTTGTACAGTGTGAGTAAATGGATATCGCAATCTAATCCTATGTATCTGAAGTTACTCCCTGAATGCCGGAAAGAGTCAATATCGGCGATTCTCCGTGCTTACATACACTGCTTAAAATCAGATCGTGAAAATTCCATTTCTTTGGTCGACGGAACACTGTTCATTGGAACACTGTCCGCCTGCTGTGATTACAGTCTCTGATAAAATCTACTAATGCTATTTTCTGATTGCTTAGCTCAGCGGCGATCGTATCATTTACACAACTGGTATATATCTTACAAAAGATACACAAGCAATCTCGCAATTACGTTAAAGAAAACAAAGAAACTTTGAAAATTCTCTATATTTTATCTAATATTTACTTTGTCTCAAAAATTAAAAAAAAATTATTTGTCTAATATTATTATAATAAAAGATATTCTAATTTTAAATATTTTTGTTATATTAATTTTAATAATTAAAATGATTTATAAATGTGTTTTTCTTATATAATTTATATTTTAGATATACAATTAGTCTAATAATGTAGTTTGTAAAGTCACTAAAATAAATATAAACAATGTTGGTATACACGATGAAAATTCAAATGATCATCATCATTACTGTTTCTGTCAAATAATGTTTGCGGATTTCCTGATTAAACATTGCGGATCATTTATCTCAACTGCGAAATAGACTAGCGATTTTCATGTCAAAAGCGTATTTACTGCGTTGCAAGGAACGTAAGGTTTGCTCAATCGTTAATAGGATCTCACCTTAAGAGGGGCTTCTGTTAAACTTCAAACGTCTATATTTTTTTTCCCTTCTTCGATTTTTAATCTTTCGCTCGTGTTATGTCTTGATGAAATGTTTACGTAATATTTATAACATTCTTCACTTGAGAATTATTTAAGTAATTATTACGTCCAGTGATATTTCAAGTGCGGTCCTTGAATTTATTATCGAATGTTTGCAAATAGTACTCAGTTTCTTATTAGTCGATTTAATAATAAAATTAATAAAAATTTTTTAGCATTTGTTGTAAATTTTATACGCATTTTAACGAGAATCTGACGCCGAACGATGTGCTAAGCATTCAAACAGCATTTATTCTTAGTGTTGTTACGAGCATTTAACTCACTATATACGATATTTATATGTGTATATGCATCGAACGTATATACGCCCTTGACAATATTGCCCATTCTTTCATCGTATTTTATCGAGTTTTATTCGCCATATATCACTCCATAAATGTCTTACAAATTCTAATAAAAAGTGATTGACATGTCAAAAACATTTATTAAAAAGCATCTGATTGTTTTTTAACGAGAATTTAATTGAATTTACAATTATACAGCTTTTGATGTAGAAAATTAAAAAGGATTTGACAAGTAAAATTTTGAATATATAAATACTAACAATAAGTAGCCTTAATGACTGTCGATTTTATGAGCGCATTTAATTTGAAATGTAATTATCAATTTTTAATATTAAAAAGCAAATATGTTTGGAGTAAATAAATATAACAAATATTTACTGAAAGAAAAATATTAAATTAATAAAATACATACTAATATAATAAATACATTGACCTGAACTGCATGGGATACATAATGGATTTCTTGATGTATCATTGATGATGTCAAAGACTTTTACAAGCAAATAGTAAAATTTGATCAAAATAAGAATAGGCAGAAATCATGGATGATTAACGGAGAAAATGACGTCACGCATGCTAGAATGCGATCCTCTGCCTCCGCATCTCACCCTCCTCCCCTTCCCACCCCCATGATGTCGCATAGCACTGATTCCACACACGCCAAATCAGGTCAATCGGTAGTATTGAACGCATTGGTTTCCATAGGAATTGGAGAATATTCGTTTACTAGTGCTTCTCTCGTTACACGTACGCACCGATGTGAACCTATAATACCGTCCAACTTTATCAAAAATAAAAATTAATACTGTAGCGCGTTTGTACTTTGTTTGTACCGATCATTATTTCGTTTGTACCTCAAACAGTTAAACAGAAAGTAAAAAATAAAAAATGGCTAGCGCGTAACTTTAAGATTTTTTAATTTTATTTATGCCATTCGAAAGAGAATCGTTTGTACCCGTTTGTATCTTTTTTCGTTTATACCTCAAAGAGTTCAAAGATACAGCGATTTCAAAATTGCGGAAATGCGTCAAAAGGAGAAGTCGGCCATTTTAAAAGATATCGAAATGGGACCAATGGCATTCGAAAGAGAATCGTTTGTACCTCATTTACTTTCGTTTGTACCTCAAATGGTTCGGAGATAGGTTGACCTTTTGGCATATTTTTGAAATTTTGAAACATACTATGTCTCCGAACTCTTTGAAGTATAAACGAAATAATGATCGGTACAAACAAGTACAAACGAAGTATAAACGCGCTACGATATTAAATTTTACTTTACAGTTGAGCGCCAGGTTCACATCGGTCGCACGTATGCAAATCGTTGCATGATCCTCTCATGCAATTGAATATTTTGAAAAATTTCCGTAAAAACTTTTATAAATTTCTTTTTTACTATAAAATATCTTTTTTTTTTAAATAAAAAGTCGTTTTTTGTCAATTAATTATATCTCTTGATTATTTTAAATTATAGGTCATTTAAAATCGTATTGCGATAGATTATGTAATGTACCGCAATCTTCAGTCGAGATTAAATTTAATGTTGCTCATACATTTAAATATAAAAACTAACATCATTGTCATAAAACAGGATAAACAGACTATGTTTTATAAACTCAAAAACTAGATTAATTAATTTTTTCTACTTTAACGTATTTTCATTCGCAAATTGAATTTTTCTTACTTTTTAAACTACTGCTTTTTACCATTGATTTTTTATTTTTAATTTACTATTGTTTAATTTACTATTGTTAACTTATTTTCTATTTTTGATCATTTAGCTTAAAAAGATGTTAGAAATAAAAAGCTATTTTATAATGCAAAAAAGTTCAGGTACTTACAGTTTCTACTTTTCATTTTTTACATAAAATACAACGAAAAATATATTTGCAAAGATAAAGTCTCTAAATCCAGATAAAATAAAAACAACCAATTAATCAGTGTGACGTAAGTGACGTGTATGTAAGGCGCTTTAATCAACAGATAATGCATCGGTATGCAACATCTGTATTTGTTAATCGTAGTGCGCCAGAGGTACAGTTAAAAAGCTTTTCTTTTTTTGCGATGCGGCTTTTATTCATCTATGCGTTTATGTCGCATTGCCGGCGTCATTAACGATGTCTAACGAGCCTAGACCAAAGAGCTTGGGTGGAACAATACCACTCAAAAGTACGTCCATATGAGAGTAAATGGTATGACGGAGGCAAGTAACCACGCGTTTCCGGTCGTGTGACATGTATCGACGTAGCGACGCGTGCACAAGTAAATTTTCACAGAGACCGTTTGCTTCTTGTTAATATTTTGAGTGCAATTGTCAAGATTTATTCCAAAAATCGCTTTACATCGCTTAGTTCTGAGATTAGAATGTTCGGACAGCTATATATAAACTATCTTTAATAAATTAGATGATTTCCAAGCTAAAAATATTAATTTTGATACATGAATATAATTATTTTTTAACTTGATAGCAATTATAATTATTACAAAAGTTTATTATTATCAATTCCTATTTTAATTCTCTTAATTTCGATAAAATTTTGAATGATCTAATTGTAAGAATACGAGGGATAAAGGATTTCGAATAAAAGAATACGATAAAGCGTTGTAGGTACTTTATCTTTTATTAACCTTCTCTCCGTACAAATATTTTAAGAAACGTTTCTAAGAAAACTTTGGAAATTTTTCATTTGGCAATTTTTTATTTATGATTTTATTAATCTGAAGTGTTTTCATCCTTATACACAGAGAGAAGGTTAATAAAAAATGAAAATCACTGTATGTATCACTCAAAATAATTGTATGCGGTGAAATTACAATATGTGCTGTTTTGTATTGCAGAAACAAAGCATAATGGTTCGCCAATTAGAAGAGGAACTTAGAATGAGGATGCGTGGGCCGAGCGTCGAGATGCAGCAACAAATGGAAGTTTTGTACAATGAGAACGAGCATCTGACTCGCGAAATTGCCATACTTCGTGATACGATAAAGGTGAACATTAATGTTTAGATGTCATAGATTATTTTTAAATGTGCATTTTTCAATGGACTTCTTTTAACAACTTTTTTTTACTGTGTGGTGCAAAATTATTTACGTATAATGAGGGCGCTATAATGCACCGTTTTTCACATAGTTGAATTTTTCCAAAAGAAAATTAACTTTTGGCGGCACAGTTTACAAGATTAGTCTTAATGAGCGAGACTAGATCGGTTTTTCACGTCTCTCGCCGAATATAATTCAATCTTGGCCTGGAAATAGAATAGCACACCACCAGGAAGATTGGAACGTTCGAATAATCGCGCCGAAGGGGGATCCCATTATAACTCGGGAATAATAGGGATAAGTGCGGTAAATGGAAGTGAAATGGAAGAGACTCTTCAGAGGGTCGATGCGTGAAAGAGCCGCGCAAACGTCTCCTAGACCGTCTTTCTCTTCTTTTTCTTGTTTTCTCTTTTCTCGCCGACAGCCTCGAGAGTTTTCCTAACATTTGTGAAAATTTTCGCGCCAGGTATATTGGACCTTGCGCTATCTTCCAATCTCCTGACACCGCTGCGGACGTCTGTCACGTACCCCAACATTCCGAACGTAGATATTCAAGAGAAATACTGAGAAATGCTTGTCCAATTTTTTCCTCTTGAATATTCTGAAAACTTTTTATTGACTTTATTTATTTCATTTAATTAATAATGCTTCTATAGATAAAATTAAATATTGTATAAAGTTCACTTGTCAAAACAATGTAAATGTAATACAAGGATATATAAGCAAAAGCCAGATTACAGTTGCTAAAACATAATCATATTTCAAATAAAATAAAATGAAACATACGTTTTGACCAAACAATTAGATCATTATCAATGTTGTTCTGGTAAATATAACAATAGTTACGTCTTAATGGTTATAGACTTGTAAATTGAACGATTTATATTCTAATAGCTATAATTACATAAAATTAATCTAGTTAAATAAAATAAAAAGACAATTTAAAATACGAACGCAATTTAAAATACGAAACCTTCATGTTCTCTTTATTTTCATAAATGTCAGTCGGTATAGAATACATAATTGAAAGAGAGGTCGCACAATTAGCTTGCAATTCAAAAAGGACTAGCACATTGCAATAGTCATCTGTTCATAATGTCTTCTTAAGATATCTTTACATAATAAAAGATAGACGTATAAATTAGTGTGAAATTTGTAAGTACTGTAATGTATAATGTATTACATAATAATCGATAAAAGTGTAAAAAATTCTTATAAAATCTATAAATATATAGTGAAATTATTTTATTATAAAAACTATGTCGTGTTCAATAAAATTGTAAGAAAGAGTTCAAAAAACTTCCATTAATCTTGTACATTTCAGTATATGTACTTATATTATAGTTTTAAAGTAAAATGATTTAATAGCAATTTTTATAACAAATAATCGGCAATTGCAATCTTCTCTATTCGATGATAATTTATATCGTAACAGTTTCTTTTATTAATACATTATCATTTTGTAGAAATTTTACCGAATCTAGAAAAGATAACTTTGATGTAAAATCTATTTGTGTTTCTCGTGAAAGCACGCGATCATAAATAAAATAATCATGCATTTGCAAAATAATCCGTTCGGCGGTATGTGCCGTGGTTTATTGGTTTCTCGTATGCTATACGGCTCTGTGCTCGCAGACCCGAAATAGACGAGGGGTTTAGGTCGCCTTCGAGGTAAACGACCGATTGTCTGCATGATCCAGAAACCTCCGGAAATCTTGGCAACAACATGAATATCAACCTCGTCGCAATAAATTTGTTATGTTCACCACTTATGGCGTCGAAAAACAAGCGTTGCTGCGTGTAAGGCTGCGTGTAAGGCTGCGTATAATGCCGAATCGATATATAAGCAGACACGTAATGGGAGTGTCATGTTCCACTCGTTTAAAAGCAGTATGATAGATATGAATCTTTTTTAAAAAACATTGCTTACATAAAAGAAATATTTTATTTTTACTGCAAGATAAGTAGTTGATAATAGATGCAATTCGCGTACGTAATAAGTTAAAGGAAATGTTATCTCAGAGATATTCTTTAGAAAATAATCTAATCTCGCGCAAGAAGCGTATATTTGCTCGTAAGCATGACCGAAATGTCGCAGACAGGTCAAACGGGAAGCAACTGGTCGCCTTTGGCCATTCGCCAGTTTATGCACTCGGTTTCTCGTGTCTCTATAAATTCTCATTATCAAATCTAATGGCCAAGTTGAAATTTTTAAAAACATCTAAGATACTTAATGACAATACAACGTTCTCATTTTATTAACTTTCTCATTTATAACTTTGAAAGATTCAGTATATGATTTTCTAATGTCATGTTATTTATTAGCCAACTTTTATTCTGTAATTTTATTTATTATTTAATATATTAATAATTAATAACGTTAGTATTTATACATACAGCTTTCGCTGAAATTCGTCGATAATATTTAACACTTGATTATTTTAACTCAACATGTCCCAAGAGTTTCATCATCCTCTAAGACTGATTGTAATTATCCATTAGCAGTTCCCCATTAGCAACAGCTACACTCTAGCTGTTTTGAGGTCAAACCGGCAATACAGTACATATGTTTTTTAAAGAATATTCCAACTAACACATCTACAACTGTGGAACTTTGCGAAGGTTTTCATTAAGAGAGCTAATTGAATTAATTATCGAATATCGGCCGACATCTCGAATGTAACTTTCGGGAATTCTCGTATTTTCAGAGTGCATGGTATCTACTCGCAGGTAATATCGTACGCGAGTATTCCTCTCGCACAGCGGGGAAAGCCGGTAGAAGGCCAGCAGCGGGTGTCTAATTCCAGACTAATTACTTTCCTGCCGTCAAAGAGGCGTGCTAAATTCGTTATGCGGGCCCCAAGCGGTGGCATCCATCGTTGACGGTTACTAAAATCAAGTATATTGCTGCCAACGTACCATTGGTTATCATAAAAATAATACTGTAAAAAATGCACGCAGTGATGAAATTCCGTAAAAATATTTTGCGCCATTAACATTTTGTATAGTAAATTCTCATTATCCTATTGAAATGTCAATCTTTTTTTAAAATGAAGGAGCAATACATCGACATGATGATAAATTAAAATCTCTCTCTATTTTGAAGATTAAGTTTAGTGTATTTTTGGAAAAAGGAATACGTATTTTTACACACAGGAGTTGATATTTAAAGCAGTAGATTTTAAAGAGAAATTGGATAATTCTAAAATTCATCAAAGAACCTATTTTTAAATTATTTTAAAATTTATTTGTATTTAGTATAAAGACGAGAAATTTATAAATAAGCGCCAATATCTTTTTAATGTGCATGTTATTACGTGGTGTGTTGCCTCTCTTTGAGCCTTGTGATTCCGGTGGTACCATCCGCAGATGCTGAAATAATTTTGTAGGCTTAATATAGTTAGTAACATTTTGAGTTGCCTTATTATCTCTAATAAAGTCTTAATTTAGACTTCACAACCGATTAAGTTTTATGATGATCTTAGCTTGTATTTTTAATGCGTATTTTATGAATTTAAAATGACACAGAAAAATACAATTTATAATATTTTGAAAGCATCTACGTAATATGATAAAATAAATCAGAAATATTCAAATTACTGTCATTTGATGCAACTCAGTTTATGGAAATTATGTAAGATATAATTGAATCTAAATTGTTTATGCAAATATTAAAAAAGAATTGAAATTTTTTAAGAATAAAGATATTAAGAAAAGAATTGCGACTTTTTAAGGATTATTAAATCAATGTACATGTTTAATAAAACAGTGATAAAATAGTAACAATTTGACAATAAATCGTTAAAGAAAACAGTCTTAGTTATTGCAATTTCTTTACTTTTAATTAATCTTGTTGTTGATTTTTCTGCAGGAGCTGGAATTAAGAATAGAAACGCAAAAACAGACGCTGCAAGCTCGTGATGAGAGTATCAAGAAGCTCCTCGAGATGCTCCAGAATAAGGGGATGGGTGAGACATTGCTTGCAATTTTTTAATTAATTATTTTAATATTAATTAATTATTTTAACACCGCATTTTACGAACAAAAATTTACGTGTATGTGTGATCGTATGATTAAAGGAATCATAAGAATCCATTAGCTAAATCAAATAAAAGACGGACTTAGATTTCATTATAGGAAATTGTAATAATATATCATAATGAATCATTGTGAACAACAATAGCCATTTTAAAAATATTTTTAAATTTTGTTCAATTAAACTCATGGAGTATAATTACAAATTAGAAAATCGTTAAATAAGCTTTGTATAAAAATTAATAGATTTCGAGAGTATTAATAGAGAAGAAAATATTTATTTTAATGAAATAAAGCACTGTCGGGAAATAAAACTACAAAGCATGTGCATACATAATTTTTTAAAAACATTAGATTAACAAAAAAATAATTATAAATAGCGAAGTGTACATACACAAAAATATTTTTACATTTTAAACAATGTGATTAAAAAGGCATGCACCACGAGCGCAAGCTGTTAGCAGCGAAATATTTATATTTTAATAGATTACAATAAAATAAAAACAATACAATAAAATATCAGTATTATAAAATTCATATGTGTCATAATGTTGAGAACACCTAATTTCGCATAAATTTTATTCACGTGATCATAATGAGATAGAACGCATTAAACGCTATTTAAGTTCATTTTTTGCATGATTGTTAAGTAATTTTTCCGAATATATCATGCTAGTAAGTGACTTCATGTAGCAAAAGTACATAGCGCGTTATCAGAATTAAAAATTGCGAATATGAGATTTTACACGCTCGATTACAATTATATTTTCGAAGCGTTTGACGCTTAGGTTATTGTTATATAAAAATTTTTTTAGTCCATAAAATCATATCAAATAATCCAGAAGCCAATTGTCGTTTTTTTGTCACAAAAGTTAGTCGAACTTATTGAAACACATAATTTCCAGATTCTGTGTTAACAATAAATTGAGTTGTGGAATCCAAGATTTGGAAAACATTGAACTATATATATATTTTCTTTTTGACTCTTGAACAGTTCTCGAAATTATGTCTTTCAATAAGTTCGACTAACTTTTGTGACAAAAAAAAACAACAATTGGCTTCTGGATTATTTGACATGATTTTATGGACTAAAAAAATTTTTGTATAACAATAACCTAAGCGTCAAGCGCTTCGAAAATTATAATCGAACGTGTAAAATGTTCTATCTCATTATGATAACGTGAATAAAATTTATGCGAAATTAGGTGTTCTCATTATGTAAGTCATAACACATATGAATTTTGTAATACTGATATTTTATTGTATTGTTTTTATTTTATCGTAATCTATTGTATTAAAATATAAATATTTCGCTGCTAATAGCTTGCGCTCGTGATGTATGCCTTTTTAATCACATTGTTTTGTTTTAGCCACGTTTTGACTTCTATTATTCTTACATTTTAAGTTTAAAGTTTAACTATTGCTCAAATTTTTAATCTACGTTTACTTCAAACAAAAATATAGTTTCCTGACGATATAAGTTCATATTTAAGTTCTTTTTTTGCATGATTATTAAGTAATGTTTTCGAATATATACCATACTTGTAAATGACTTCATGTAGCAAAAGTACGTAGCTCATTATCAGAATTAAAAATTGCGAATATTTCGTTCGCAAATATACGTTCCTAGTATCGTTCTTCTCTAACCAAGGGAAGATTCAATTTCCTCCGCAATGACATTTTTCGCGCAAATGCCGTCGGTCATCCTCGACGACTACAACGGTTCATCGAATTATCTCGTTAAATCCACGAGCCGCAATTCATCTAAGCAAAGGAATCTGCATTTTGAAATCGTTATTGTGATCTTTATCTTTATAAAAGCAAGACTTATCTTGTGAAGTTAACGTATAATCCAAAAGGATGCTGTAAGAAAATAATAATCTTGTAAATCTTGTTAATTTTACGAGAGGAAAAATACTTTCGAAAGTTAAGAAGACAGCATTTAAATGAACAAAGTTTCAATTCGTGACACGTATTAGAGTAAATTACCATGTTCACGCGCTTGGCATACATAATTAAATGCGCTGTATTAACATAATAACAATTTGCTCTTTAAACTATTTTTACAAATTTGAATATAAGTAATTAATATACAAGTAAGGGAAGGGGAAATAAATCTTTTTAATTAACATTATTATTTATTAATTACAAATGTTATGTGCATTACATTAATCATAATATAAATAATTATAATAGTAATACAGAGTTAGAGAGATATTAATAAAGATTGCACTCGAGCAAACTGTCGCGATTATTTTATAAATTTTATTTATTCGTATATACAAACATACATATATATATATATACACATACAAACACATCCACAATTGCACAATCCAAGACCTGGAACCAAACAGTTCCTCCAAGTGTTCCTCGTTACTTTCTACTGTTCTAGGAAAAGAGGAGGAAAGGATCATGTTCCAGCAAATGCAGTCGATGGCCCAGAAGCAGGTCCTTAAGCTATTTCTATCCGTCGCCATACATACTCATAATTATAAATTTATATATATGTATATATATATGTATATATACATTATGCATCGCGTACATATATGTATATACATATATATGTGTGTATCATTCTCATTTCGATCGACGCTCATTACGCATTTTCAATATACGCATATGTGTAACTACGTATTGACATTAATAATTCGCTTATTTTTATTAGTTTATTTTACAACGTCTACGTACGTACATATATGCGTTAACATTAATCGCTGCTCATTGTTCTGTATCGAGTAGTTGCTTGCAAGTAGCTTGCAGTTATTGCACCGCCAGTGGCTTACTTTTCGCCCCGTGTGCCGGGCTCACGCTTGCACTTTTCTGT